CCGGTTATTGTGATTATTGTTTATCTTCTGACTTGACTCCATTTCTCTCGACCTTTTTAAAGATGGAATCGCATGGGAATTATTTCAAATTTGTAGGCGGCGATGGGGGATCAGGAAACACGGTAGAGGCCCTTACTGTACCAGAAGGCTCAGTCGGTTTTAGCGATGACTTGACATCTTGGATCTGGTCGACGAAGAGCCCATTGGAAAGCCTTGCGGAGATTCGTGGAGCTGTAAGTGTTCGCATGTGAACGCGTGCGTTTCTTCATGTTGACTCGTAGTCCCTTCTGTTGCTTGCAAGCTGAAAATATACGACTAGCCATTGAGCCCGCTTCATCTTCTCAAGAACTGTCAAAATCCATGTTGTCATTTTATTTTTGAAAACATCGAAATGGTCTACAATGCGAACGTCAGGTATAGCCGATCAAAAAGTCTTTCGCTTTGCCGCGAGTCAAATATTTTGGTGCCTTGCTCTGGACCGAGTGTGTCAATCCCTGAGGGAGATACTCATCCTCTCACATGACGCATAACTGTAATAAAATCATAAATTCACACGCTTGTACAAGGGCAGCGTTGGCAAGACGGTTCGGGAGCGTCGTCACCAACACCACCCCAGCACTACCACCATCACCACCACCACCACCACCACCACTACCACCACCACCACAGGTAATTGCACTCCTGAGTCCACTACTCCCACGACCTATATCGTCCCTAACACGGACCACGCGACGACGACGACGACGACGACGACGACGACGACTACCACCTCTCCAACGCCCACCACCAGTGAGGATACTCCGGATGCCCCGTCAACCACTGCCCTCCCCACCGTCCGCCTCCCACAAAAAATATGGACTCCATCACAACCCTCTCCCGTTGCAATCACGTCTTCACATCGTGCATCGACCCGGTCGATCGCCACCGAATCCATCATATTGAGACTGGCGAACGAGGGCCAAGATACACCCACCACACACGCCGCGACTGCTTATGCTGCCACACAACTCCAGTCACCGCATGCGCGTATGCGGTCACATGAGTATACATTAAAACATGCGGTAAGACACTGCCGGCCAAACCAAATAAACACGCCTCTAGTCATAGGTACACACTCACAGAGCACAGACGAACGCGTCAAATGTCACTCAGCGACAGTTAGACCGTCGCAACCGAAGATAGCCAATTTGTAGCAGTCACGGTGGCCTGCGCAGCATCTACCGCTCTGTCTCTCTCTTCCCCCCTCGTCACCTGGATCCGGTTTCAAGACAGAGTCAAGAAGACCAGAGGCGGGAGAGGACGCAGGTGGCTGGCACGGCCGTACCCGAACCTACGCGTGCCGCCACACCAGAGCCATACCACCACACTACTACACTTGACCAGGACATTACACCACCAACACCACCACCACCACCACCAACAACAACAACAACAAAATAGGGGGCAGAAGTACGAGGATGACTGGGCAGCCATGCCCACCACCCCTATACGCAACTGGAACGCAAACCTATTTACCGACACGGAACCGGGTGTCAGAGAAACCACCGGCGCATACAGGGCTGCGAGGTCCATGATTTGCTGATACTGGCCTAGCACACACTTTCCGAACTTTTGACCTTGCAGGGCAGTACTTAGCCTGGGTCATCGCTCAGCAAGATTAAGTAACCAAACTGTAGTCGACTGAGAGGCATTGACTGTAAAGCACACAAAAAACACACACACGCAACAGTTCGACCGTCGATTTCGACGATGTCCACCGTGTGCCCCACAGCTGCAGCGGCCGGGGAGAGCAGGGACGGTGACTTGCGCAGGGGTTTATAGTGCCATTAGACTTGCGCTGCATCTACCTACACTCTCTCCTCCTCCCCCGCCTGAGCCCGGTGTCAAGACAGAGTCAAGGAGACCGGAGACGAGGTAGGCCGCAGGTGGATGGCTCGGACGGATCCTCACCTTGGCGTTCCACCACACCCCTGGACCACACAACAAATAACCAGGATTTTCAACAACACATCAGAGATTTGGAGGCTGGCACGAACGAAGCCGCACCTAGGCGTGCCGCTAACGCCTGGCTCGGATCCCACACTGTGGTGGGAGTGCCATAAATGCCACAGTAAGAAGGAGCCATTGCAGCCTGACTCTCAGACCACCACCAGTCAAGGAGGAGGTCCAAGTTACCCCGTCAGTTGGCAACATTCCAAGCCACGGCTTTTAGCGCAACGTGATAGCTTCAAGCGCGTCAGATTGTTTATTGTAGGGAGAAAGTGCGCTGAGTCGTCGACCTCAATCTCCTTTCCCATCACCACACCCCAGCCGCTGTCTGAGCCGGTCAGCAGACTGGAGTGGGAAATACGCGCGGTTGCTGGCACGGTGGACTGACCATGCCTGCGCGCCACAGCCCGACTTGACCCCCCATACACATACAAACACCAGGATTTTACACAACGGGGGTTCAACGGCGTGTCTCTCACATGCGTGAGAGGGCCGTGGAAGGTGCTGTTTCGGCCCGTCGCCCAGCCCACCAGCCCGCCACTCCACAACA